ACGCCGAAGACTGTATTCAAATTGGTCTTACATCAAAACGTCGCAATTTTAAAGTAATTATATCAAACATGAAGCAACATCATGTTTCCAAAACCTGAAGGGTTAAAGATTTCAATTAATTTTTGTTTGTTCCAATTTAAGAATTTTATTTTGTTTGTCTATTACTATTTGTTACTATTTTCATGTAACTTTTTTTTATAAATATGTAAATGCAAATTATATCAATAAATAATGTTTATTTAAAATTTACATTGATTGTTTCATGAATTCAGAATGGGGGAGTAATATCGACTTACGCAATAATATTTTGGGGTAATGGTTAAAAAAGTTTCCCGACCGCTGATATAGGTGTTGACTATGTGGTCATGTATTATTATTGGCCTGTGAATTCTGCTGTCCTGAAGGTCTTTAGGTAGATCATACGTCCTTTTACTTTGATGTTAGGTATGCCCGGTATGGGTTTTGTTGACCTCTTCGGACATTTGAAAGACCATGCAGCATGATCCTTCGAGTTGCATGTCATACATCAGGGGGGAAGTGGTGAAGTGCATCGGTTTGTCCGATGTTGGCTCTGGCATTTGGAGCACTTGGTCTTCTTGCGACTTACATTCGTTGCGTGAGTGAATTCTTGACACCTGGCGCAAGACACAGGTATAAGAGGTGGTGGAATGCTCTCTATTGCCCTCATGAACAAGCCCTCATGTAGAAGTCGACTGGAAGGACGATTTCTTTTTATTTCAGTGGAATTGATACAAATAGTATGAAGTAAGATAAAGTAGTCATCATTAGGAGAGAGTTGACAAAAGAGCAATCACCCATCTAATAATTTATCATTCAGTATCCTCTCTTTAGTAGAAAATAGAATGCATTAGTATTGAAATAAAAACTGTGATTAAAAATAAACTACAATCTTTTTTTTTTATAGAAAATTAAAGAATAATACAAAACTGTTACTAACAGAATTAATACTTCTTTATTATATAAAACAGTAATTAAAGATAAGCTAGTGATCGGAAACGTATTAACTCCTTCGTTAATTGTATCTGTTACGTAACATTGAATCATAGATTTAAATTTAGAAAATTATTTAATTTAAAAAATACACTTTTTCTTTTCTAATTTCATATAGAATTTGCATCTATTATAAACAGTAATGAACCTTTTCTCTGCTTTTGATTTTTACATTGGGCTTTGTTATTTAGTCTGAATTTTAAACTCGCCACTTTTGTATCGGATTTTTATGATACAGACGAATATAGGCCAATGAAATGAACAATATAAATGTAAAATATGGTAAATTTTCTATCAAACGATGTAGGCAACCTATGTTACTAATTTACTAATATAAATATTTGAAGTATGTTATTACTTTATGTACAAATAATATAGTTCTTAATAAGTTTAAATCATATGCGAATTAATATATTTATTCATTAAATCCTTCGTTAATTGTATTGTAT